GCTATAGTAGTAATAAGAATGTGATAATGGCTGTATCAATCTGGTATGCTGGTTCCTATGCTCGTTTCATCTCTAATTTACAGTCAGTAAGATTTCTGAATGGCACAGAAGTGCTCCACTTCAGTTACATGATTTCTAGGTAGCTGTCGGATATGAGGGTAAAGATGATGATGCCGCCTGGAAGGCCCAGAACACAAGATTCTCTAGAGAGCAGTTAAAAGATGGTTTTATGACATTATATTCTGACACGGTGTGAATCAATTTTAATGAAAGAGATACCTGCTTTCTTTTGCTATGATGAATCTGTAAATATTTAACCCTCCAGGCTTGAAGGAAAAGATGTATTCTGTTTTAATGGAGTAAAAATGTGCTACATCTTTGTATTGAACATGAGTCTTAGAGCTAATGAGTAAATATACTTTTCTTCCCATAGTTTTTTTTACAGTAACTAAATAAAAGTCAGAGTATATACCTCATGTTCCTACCAGTAGCTGGGATCTGCCTGTAAATTTTACCTTACTCAGATTTTAAAGAAGAAATCCAGACTTCCACGGGGCTATATAAATCTTTGTCAGAATTATGAGTTAATTAAAATAATCTTTATTTGCAAAGAACTTCCAGTGCTTTTGTAACCAACTGTGAAATGCAGATGTTTCTGGGGTGAAATGCAGCAACTAATTAATTGTAGAAGTACACAGTAGCTTAAAACAGCAGGTGAATAAAACTTTTTCCTGTCATAGCTGTGGCATAATATAATCAGACAAAATGCAATTTTGTAGTTGGAATTTAAGAAGGATCTTAAAATTAACATAATGATTTTCCCATAGAAAATGGTGGGATCTACATGCTACAGAGAAATACTTCAAAGAGCCTTGCAACATCAAGCTTCTTGCTTCATCTACATTGGAATAAACCAGCTTCATATCACACTCTTTTCACTAGGAAGAAAGCTTGGTTAACCAGTAACTAAAATATTCTGCCCTAACATATATATTTATAAATTTGTCCTACTAATATCCTCCTATGGGTTCTGTAATCATATTCTGATGGATATTTATGCATTGCTCTTCAAGGGAATACTACCACCTACTTATTCTTTCTGGTGGTAACTCTACCTGATGCTTTCATTTCCCATGAGGGGATCATTTCCAAATTTTGTGTGCTCTTGACAGAAAAAATAGACTGAACTGATTGTATCAATTCTTCTAATGTGTTTTGTGTCTGCTTTGGGGACTCGTTGTTATACTTTTGTTTTGTTTTCTCTTATTATTGTAATGAAATCTAGTAAGATATTCTTCAATTACTTCCACTCCTGTTTGAAGATTTTTGTCTAATTTATGAAGGAAGTTTTTTAGTTTCATTTTTTTTTTTTTTTTTTCTCTCAGATAAACTATTTCATACCTTGGCTTTGCATTCTGTTCAAACAACAATCCATCATCATCATCATTTTTTTGATTACTTGCTGAAACAAACAACATCCAAATTGTGCCAGAATCTTCACTGTATTAGCAAAAAAAAAAAAAAAACAAAAAACAAAAAAAAAAACCAAACAAACATCAAATCAACCAAACAAACATGACCACACAAAAATTGCAGAAAAGAAACCACTACCAATAGAAACAGATGACTCAAATAGAAAGATGAATTCTGCCATGCTACCAATGGGATAGAAAACTTCCTTCTGATATACGATTTCTCTCTCTATGCAAATATCAAATGATAATCTACAAGTTTTGTTTGCTATTGGAAAACTGGTTCTCCTTCAAATACACTTCACATCTGGGGCTCTGTAAGTCCCTGATTTCACTGTATCTTGTATGTATTAATGAAAAAAACATTTATTAAGCTTTTACAGCTCTCAATGTTAATTACTGCAATTAATGAATGGAACTGCAGGTAGAGTTCAACCAAGGGTTTTCCTAAACCATTAACAGGGACTCATTAATAATGCTTATGACAGTCTACTAGGAATTATCTAACAGCCATGAGACTTATTATGTGTAGGACCTCATCTTGAACCTACACAACTTCTCCTCAAATAAATTAATGATGTCTCACAATCTCTTAGGACCATATCTTCAGTCATCCCAGAGCACTGGAAGAAAGAGCTTTAAAGCCACCTTTCCACCCTATCAAATAAAAATGAATTTTATAATGCTGAATACACCATGGAACAAAACTTCTAGGTGAGAAATCTTACTTTACTTTTTGCTCCCTAATAGCAAAGACCACTTGAAGGATGAAGTCTGGCTTAACTCTAAATCTAGGCTTCTAGAACAGAACTGCTAGACACTTTCAGGTCACTGCAGCCTTAGAGATATTTCACAACAATAAGATAAAGTATGCATCATCTTTTCAGCTAATACCGTTCTTTTAACTTCGACATCTTTAGGAGCTATCTCAGCCTACAATTGTATTTGTTTTTCGAAGATCTGTTTCTTGTCCACAGTATGGTTACATCAACTTCCTCAAAACAGGCCCTGCAATTGCAGCCTTTTCATTGGTTGCTTCCTATTTTACTTACTGTATGCTTTCAGTCTAGTATTGATAAGAGATAGGAAGTAAAAACAGGATTCCAATCACACAAGAATGCCACAATTTTATTGTAGTTCACAAGTCTGTGAATTTTAATGAAATCTGAAATCCCCTGGTTTGTTTTATTTTTTTTTAAAAGCTGTATCTCACAATAATTTATTTCAATATCACCAAAATAGTTTGCTCAGAAGTTACTGGTTTATTTACTCTAACTGAAAACTATAAGGTTAAAACAAACTGTTTTTAAACAATTTTCCAAATAAAATATGACAGTATTGGAATATTTCCATCCAAACTTTCGTATTCACTTTCAAATTTTGCTGTTTGTTCCATTGACATGTTTAGTGGAATGTCTGAAAGATTCATTGTTTTAAATAAGTTGAAGCTAAAGGAAATTGAGCCCAAATACATTGAGGTTTACAGTGAGAGACCTGATAAGCACAGTGGATGCATTATGCAGGGCGGCATTAGCATTCTTAACTTTTAGTCTTTAAATATCTGAAAACCAGTATTAAAGCAGAAAACAGGTAATATAGTTTAAGAATGAATAAATGAACAGAGCCTAGGTCTTGATGATCTAAGTCACTAGAGCAGCACTGCAAGCTTCCAGTGACTTTATGATTTGTTTAGAATTCACTTCAAGTGAATTTTCTCCTTTGCTTCCTCCCCTTTGTTCTTTTTATGAGTAGTAGTCATAAGTTAATGGATACAGTGAGGTTCAGGTGATCAAAACTTAAGCTTTTGGCCTTTCCCAGGTTTCCCCTATTACTTGGGAAAGTCTCTTCTTCTTTTGGACTTCCCTATGTGGAAGACAGTAGTTTGGAATTGCCAGTTAGTTTGATGAAGTACTGGAAATATGCCTAGCTGTAACAGCACCTGCAGATGTATTTACTTATACCATGTTCAGTATCTTCACAATGAATGGTTATCTGCAGGAGCTCCCATCAGCAACATTCATCAGTATTTTTGCACTCGTGAGGCAATACACTTCTGGAGAACTGAGAGTATGTACAAAAAGATGTATTGTTTGCTGGAGGAGAGTAAGAAAAGAAAGGTCTGTTCATCTTAGCAGGGAGTAACTCCAGGATAAACAGTTGATTTTATTTCAAGCACTGTGACAGAAAGAATGGATCTCTGGAACTGTATGAGGAAAGAACTAGTTAGATTTGTTCATCTGTTGTTCCGTGTACAGAATCAGTGTTTTCTAATAAAAAAATGGAAGCTGCAAGTTCTGTTACAGAAAGAAAGATAAGGACATCAAACATCTCTGAAGCAAGTTACCATTGTTTATTTTTTGACTGGGCTAAAATTTTTCACTCAGAGTAGTTATGAATATGTAAAATAGGTACCTATTTTAGACCTTTCTTTACATATATGGGCAAATGTTATAGACGTTGCATTCATATTAAGGCAGCCCACTGACGGTAGATTGTAGTGAGTGAAGTGAGTGAAATGCCTTGCTAAGTGTTCACAATCAAGGAAGGTGAGTTGAAGGTGCACAAGAATAGCATCTCCTCAGTGACATGAATTCCATTGCAACAGCTAAAAATTTACATAGGGCTGAAGTTCCCAGGGATCAGTCATGCTGACTATCATTTAATACCAGAGCCAGATATACTTCTAGCTTTGTGAACAGGTAAAACTGGTATGAAGAGCAGATACAGAGTACAGTCTATCACGTAATGCCCAGCAGGCACTAAATACACAGGGGACAAGATGAAAATCAATTATCTTCAAATAGCATAGCAAAAGCCTTTTCTGTTCTCACATACTAGCATCAAATCCATTTAAATAACAACATTTTAGAGCACAAAAGCAAAGTAAAACCTCATGAAAGCCTGTTTCAGCTAGGGCAGCATCACCTCAATCCTTTAGATTTACCTCTTCAAGGAACTTTCTCCCAGATGTAAAGATGAAGAATTAATCATCTTGTTACATAAAATGCATACTCCATGGGGAAGATACATAAAGCGTGCAAGATATGGATGGATTTTTTTTTGTGGAGTAAGTTCACCCTCAGGGGGTGAGAGCATAGGGAAAAGTGCTCTCTGAGTGATTACCATTTCTGGAAGCACTGGAGAATTGCAGGCTTGATATCATCTGAAAGAGACTATGATTTTCAATTAACTCTTTGCTCCTGTAGACTGGTAATTACCTCGTATATGTTGGGGTTCTGTTCTACACTCACCTCAGCAGTGAGCTGAGAAATTGGAAATGGTCTCATTAGTCTGGTGGCTGATGGATGCCACAAGTGGGAAACACAAGCAGGGCTTTACTGAGTTTCTTATCAGAGGCTATGTGGTTTCCTAATTTTGAGGAAGACTTCTACTGCAATGTTGTAAAGAAAAATAGGTAAAGGGCAATTCACATTGCTCATAATCTTCTTATCTATTTCCAGTTGGGTCTGGAAATGCCTGGCATTGCTCTGCTGCCTGGGTGATTCTGTTAGTCTGGAACCAGGCCAGGAGAACACCCTGCACAGGCTTTTAGAGGTGTAGACAAAGGCTTTGTAAATTTGGTACTTTCTATGGTAGCAATTATGGTCAAGGAAAGTAAGAACAGGATCTTAAATGGAAAGAAAATTGAAGATAATTTTTTAAGGTAAGAAAAAGGAAAGGGGTGGGGGAAAAGGAAGTTTTAAGATTTATAAGGCTATAAGGACTTTGCTGTTTTAATTACTGAAAGCTAAATTTCTGAGAGCCCACAGTAGCTTGTTAGATACTTACTGTAACTCTAATTAAGTAATTAGAGAGTTTGATGAGGAAGGCAAGGATTTTAAAATTTAAAGTATTCTGGAGAGTGTATATGCAGGGTAATCTTTTTCTCAGGTGTCTTTGTATTATATAACGATTAACCTTGAGTTAAATGTTACAGGATGGAATGAGAGCTTTTATTCATGAGTCATAAGCATAAAACCTGACCCAAAAGCTCTTTGAAATGTGTCTTTGAGAAGAGAACTTTGTCAGTGTGGAGTCTGTAGCACTTAGGTCAAATTGTGCTTTCAGGGATCAGGTGAGGTTTAGCAGAACAACATTTATTTCCTGAAAGGACAGACTTAATGAGCAATATCCGTAGCAGTAAGTAGAAATACTGTGTTACAACATGTTGACAATATAATTCAATTACTGTCAGATTTTGTATTTCTCCAAGTTTTAGACTGCCATGGAAAAGTCTTGAAAGAAATGAAAATGTAGCATGACAAAATGAGCAATGCAGTGATCCTCATAGCTCTGTTACTTCTTTCATCATTTATAATTTAAAATCATGTATTTCTGTGTGTAAAGTCACTGGGATTTTCATATGAAGGAAGAATAACCCTGTGGAAATTATCAAGAGAGACAACGTGGAAAATTCAGATATTGGGATTCCCATCTCTGTAACCAGATCCAGGGCTCCCAAGTTAGTGATGCAGGGATGCACAATGTGCCCACTGAAGTCACAAAGTCACATTCGTGTAATTAAGATATGCAACTGCAAACATATGTTTAAAAAAAAGTGTGGGTGTGTCACTACCACATCGGATCTCAATACGTCTCAGAAAGGAATTTCTCCGTTCTGCCAGTAACTTGGGATTCTGAATGGGCATTTCCATAAACTACACTTTGAGCAGAAGTGTGGTTTTAATGGTCTCTATATTCACTCAGGCAATTTTTTGCTTTGATTACTATTTATCACCATAAACTCAAATACCAGCCGTCTACTTATTGCTGCAACACCGAGCAATAAATAAATGAGATATTCTTCAACAAAACCTTAACAAGCACTTTCAGAATCTGGCACTTGACGGTTCTCACCTTTCCCAATCAGAGTACCTAATCGATTAATTGTGATTCAATTAAGTGTTCAAAAATATGCGAGGTGAACATTGTTTCCAGCTCTTCTCCCTTAAGATTTCCATGAATAAAAAAGTGTGCCTGACTGTTTTACATAACTTCCACCTTGATCTTGGCTTCTTTTTAGAGTCAGTAGTATATTGTAAGGCTTTATATCCTCCTGGACCAACACATTCCATATTACCCACACCTACTCTGTCATCTATGCTATAAACCACCATCTCCCCTCAGCAGTGCCAAGCAGCCTATACACTATTACAGCTGCTTTTAGCTGGATCCCATTTTCCCCAGTAATTTTATGTTTTGGGTCAACAAGCACCCAGAGAAGAGCCAGTTCAAGTACTCTATGAGAGGGACATGGTCACTATGCACTAGAGGCAGCTTGCTTCAACTTGTATGCCTCCAGGACTTTGCTTGACCAACAGGTCTCTATCGTGTTCATCTGTATGTGTAGATGTGTGAGGACTGCTCCAAAAGTAATGCTTCCTATCCCATTATTTTGGCCCATGACATAAGAGCAGATGGTGGTGGTATAGAAGTAGAGGTCCTGCTAAACTCAGCATATAGTCTGGATTTGGTGCCTTTTGACTTCCATCCATTTATGCCAGTGAAAGTTAGGCTGTGTGGGCAACATTTTCCTAACCACAGCACAATCATCACAACTTTGAAACAGTGGGACACTTCTGCTGGTGCAGATTTTTATGCAGGTTCTTACATTGCTGGCAAAAATGCATACCTCATGGAGGTGACTATGTTGAGAAATAATTTTTTGGAGCTGTGAATTTGCTATTTGCTTTATCAAATAGTGTTATTGAGCTCTCTGTATCTATTGTAATTTTCATGGAAATAAATAGGAAGCACTACTTTCAGAGCAACATGAGCTTGTGAGCATGCTTCTCACTGAAGTCCCAAAGTAAGCACTTTAACCCAGACAAAGCAGTACTCCGGAATGGTGCTTTAGAAAACTATCTCTGTGGGGGGAAAAAAAAGTCTTTGCTAGCTAAAGAAACTGCATGGGAGATGTCAACTGCGTTATTCTGCTGAGGTCCTTCAGCTTTTTGAGGTACAAAGAGAAATTCCATGCTGAATAACAAAAACTACCAAAAATATATTCAAAGACTGAATCTACTGAAACACAAATACAATATAAACTTTGTGCTGAGAGCATGCATTTTGTGACAATTGGGTTTAATATTAATAAATCAGTATATTTTGCTTGGTAGGGCACAGAGACATTTAATCTTGAAATATCACCTTCATTGTACTATTCTGTGGTGTGCTTCACCTCAAAGGTTACTCTATTCTCTTCATCTTGAGTAGAAGGTCTAATCCATCAGTTAGTCCCATCTCATTACAGTTCCATCAGGGACACCTAACGATGCTGGATACTTAATAGAAGTCTGTAGGTGATCTTAAAATGTGACTCAGTGCACTTGGGAAGCATGAGCAGTTTTCTTGTATCAGGGAAGATACAAGAACAAAGGGAGAAGGAAGGAGCTAAAACAAAAAGAATAAACCAATTAGAATAATTCTATGGCTGCTGGGAATACTTTTAAACTACAGTCTTTTTTACAAGGCCTTCCTCCCCTTCAGATACTAAAAGGCCGCTTTCAGGTCTTCCTGGAGCCTTCTCTTTTCCAGGCTGAACAGCCCCAGCTGTCTCAGCCTGATCTTACACAGGAGGTGCTCCATTCCTTGGATTATTTTTGTGGTCCTCCTCTGGATGCACTCCAACAGGTCCATGTCTCTCCTGTACTGAGGACTCCACATCTGGACGTACTACTTCAGGTGAGGCCAGCACAGAGTAGTGGGGCAGGATCACCTCCCTTGCCCTGCTGGTCAAACTTCTTTTGATGCAGCCCAGGATACAGTTGGCTTTCTGGGCTGTGACATTGCTGGCTTCATGTCCAGCTTCCCATCTACAAGCACCCCCATGTCCTTTTCAGCAGGACTGTTCTTAATTCTTTTGTCCCCCAGTTTGTATTGATAGTGGGGTTGCCACAATCCAGGTGCAAGACCTTGCACTTGGCTTTGTTAAACCTCATGAGATTCACCATGGAACCTACAACAGTGATGTTAATGTTTGTGATTTTTCTTTAGCAGTGAATGCTAAATAAATGTTTCTTTATTTAAAAAAAGAAAGTAACTAGGATGATTTAATATGCTACAGTGAGTCCTGCAGGTCTTCTTACAATCTTCACAAAATCTACCATTTTATTGAAGTATTAAAAGAATGCCTATTGAAGTAAATGGGATGTTTTCTTAAGCAGAAATTCAGAAGGAAGCTTTATGCAAGGCACTTGAGAGAACTTACTCTAAGAGCATCAGTGTCACTGAAAAATCCTTGGAAGAGGGGTTTAGATGCTTTAACTTGGAAGATGCATAGTACTACTCAGGCCATTCTACCAGAAATTTAGCATTGTAACTATGAGTACTGATTGATATAGAGGATCAGAAGCAGAAAGAACCTGTATGCATGTATAAGTGGGGTGATGCTCTTTGTTTTCCTGAATTTGGAGTAACTGCAGACCTCACCAGTTTTGCTTCCAGTCTTCCAGGTTCATAATACACTGCATCACAGAAAATTAGTTCATAACTCACTCAAAGCTCTGCTCTGTATTACTTGACCACACTTCGTTTGCTGCAAAATCTTTCTATTTGTTTTGGTGTTGTTTTTTCTTTAAGAAAAGGAACTTTGAACGATGGTTTCTTGGCAGATTTATTTGTCTCCCAGGGCCATGAGTTGCATGGGTGTAAGTGAGGGCAGAGCTTGGCTCTAAATGACTAAAATGCTACGCTCCCTTGGCTGTGAGATGCTGAGGGAGTGCATAAAAATAACAGAGCAGGAAAGCTTCAAATGTAGCAGAAAGAGCCAACATAGCGTGCTGCCTCTTTCCCAGGGGATCAGCAGGAAAGTTTCTGTGCCTTCAGTGAGTCTGCCTTACCAGAACTGCACAGACTGACTCAGAAATATGAGTGTGAGGCTGGGAAAATGCCACACTTGGAAGTTAATGGCAGATCCCCTGTTGACCAAACATACTGTGCTGACACCTTGGATAGAGAATGGTGGGATTGAGCATCGTATCTATGGGTGCAGGAATTCTATGTATTGATGGTAGATGAAAAGCTGCAGAAACCTCCAGTGATATCTGTTGTGTAATCCCAGTTGGAGATTTGAGGTCCCTCTCCTCAGGTGGGGCAGGCCAGAGGCTCAGGTGATGCCCACAGCTCATTCCTCTACACCATTCCTTTCTGAATGCAGCACACCTGCAGTTGTGTCCCTCAACACTGAAGTTTTCCTACAGCATAGCAAGAGCAGCTTCTATGTTTTGAATGAGTTGTAGCCTTTGCAGTGCATCACCACGGTGACAAGAAGACCCTTTACCCGTACAGTCCACTGCCTGTATAGCTGCATGCACCGATTCATTGCTTGTTTCTGTTTTCATTCGCTGCACCCATTGAATTTTTCAGAACATGTGATTTTCATGTAAACTGAAAACAGAAAACAAAGGTATACAAGTTAGTTTCAATCTAGAAGAGAGGCATTTTAATGAGAGGGGAAAGCTAACGCTGCATTTTTTTTAAAGCACAGGGGAAATTTAAGCGCAGAATACAAGAAATGGGATTGCAGCCTTTGTTCTTAATATGTGTTGCATCTAACAATTTCATTTGTTCCGCTGTTCTTTAGTGAAAGTGCTAAGCAAATACTTTGCAATAAATAATTTAGCCTTTGAATTTAACCTTCATTTCTGCTCATGGAGTCCCCAT